AAGATAAGCCATACTTCATTAACTCACTTCATTTAAAACTTAATAAATATGAGCTAAGAGTTCTTGTAACATTAAAGCAAGTTACAAGTTTTAAGTTAAAGACAATGTTCCTAGTTAAGATTAAACACGGTTTCAAAAGTTCAATTTATGTTTCATAAATTTCATTCAATACTTTTCCAACAATCCCCCACATGAATGAAATTAACACAAATACATGTTATGGTCCGACAGTTGAAACCTGCGTAGGATAGGTAGGTGTTACCCTTTGAACCTTCCCTTGTGAAAGCACATTAACTTTAGACGCGATGTCTTTGAACTGTTCTGCCTTTTGTGTAAACGATAAATATACTTCACACAGGATTCTCCCTAACATATTCCAGTTCTCATTATTATGTCCATTAGTGGCCCTGGACATAGCCTGGTTCTGTGAGAGGGTCTAAGAATTGAGCCTCACACAATTCTCTTCAAAGCGGCCCCACTTCTCTCTCACATAGGTGATTCATAATTACAAGTAGACCGTACTACCTTCTCATACAAGAATCATTAAAAGCCAAATGCTTATCCTACTCACCACGGGTATCACTGTTTAAGGAATGGACATTGGATAAAAGCCTACAGTGATCACAAAAGTCTTTTTACAATTAGGTTGTCCCTTTGAACCAAGATCTTGGGATCTCCAGTCAACAAGGTAGGGTTTCCATTGTATCAACTCATTTCTAGAGGCTTAAGTCCCATTCCTCTCAAAGATTTAGCAACTAACTCTCTATTTAACCCTTTGGTTAGCGGATCCGCAAGATTATCTTTTGACTTCACATAGTCAATAGATATAGTACCAGTTGAGAGTAGTTGTCTAATGGTATTATGTCTTCGACGAATATGTCTAGACTTACCATTATACATATTACTTTGTGCCCTGCCTATAGCCGATTGACTATCACAATGTATACAAATGGCTGGCACTGGCTTTGACCATTTTGGAATATCTTCTAAGAAATGGCGAAGCCACTCTGCCTCTTCTCCACTTTTGTCCAATGCTATAAATTCGAACTCCATTGTGGATCTGGCAATAACAGTCTGCTTAGAAGATTTCCATGATATGGCTGCACCTCCCAAAGTGAATAAATATCCACTAGTGGATTTAGAATCTTTCATATCCGATATCCAGTTGGCATCACTATAGTCTTCAACTACAGCTGGATATTTACAGTAGTGCAGACCATATTTACAAGTATATCTCAAATATCTGAGTAATCTCACAATTCCTTTCCAGTGTTCATTTCCTGGATTACTTGTATATCTACTCAGTTTACTCACGGCAAAGGCGATGTCTGGTCTAGTACAATTCATTAGATACATCAGACTCCCTATCACCCTTGAATATTCGACTTGAGAAACAATTTCTCCTTTATTTTTCGACAGATGTTGACTTGTA